AAGGATATAGTAGCAAATGTGACATGGGCTTCTTTTGTTTTTGCCGTCATTTTGGGAACTGGATATTTATTAAAAGAAAGCAGATGCTTTTCTCAACCAATGAACCAATCTCCAAAATTGGATAGATACAAATAAGAATTTTAAATACTTTTACCAATTCATAATGAGTGTGATGGCCATTATCATCTCATTCATGACTCATACTTTGTTTTTTACTTTTAGGTTTCTTTCTCTTATCTGTGATCAGTGCTGGGATCAAATCCATGCTAGACAAGCAATCTACCACTTAGCTGTATCCCTAGCCCTTGAATTTTTAGATTTTTAAAGGGAAGAACTGGATAAGAGTTCAATTTTAATACTGAAACCATTATTGTTCTTCTTTACTAGTTCCATTTTTGGGAAAAGTTTATTAGATTTTGGTCCAAATTAAGAGTCATTTGGCTTGGAAGAACTCAACTATTTGGCATTATTAACCATTATAACCTGCCTAGTTACATTGCAAGACAGACTAGGATCAGAAGTTTAATGCCTAGGGACCTAGGGATCTGTTGCTAATATTTTTAGTTTTGTTTGTTTCTGAGACAGGGTCTTGACTATGTAACCTAGGCCACCTTCAAGCTCGCCTTCGAGCTCCTCCTACCTTAGCCTCCTGAATGCTGGGATTATAGGCATTCACCACCATGCCTGACTGACTGTTATTATTAAGAACCTGCCTCAGGCTAGAGGCTATCCTCTATTAAAAAGCCATTAATCAGACAGCTCAATGCTATGTCACAGTGATACTTGGAATAGAACACAAAAGTGTGGCTCCCTTAGTATAGCAGCCCTGTGGTCCTCTTAGCTGCTTAAGGGCCAGTGAAGCAGTTGTCATGTACCCTTAACCACACTGAGTTTAAAATCTTACAGACCAAAGGTGTGAGGAACATAACTTAGAGGAGATGTACTGTTCATTTGTTTTTGGATGGGAAAACTGCCTCATTTATACAATAAATGAGCTGAAGTTATTCCTTAGAATTCCTACCTAATTAGTTGGCTTAAGTGCACGGGTGTGAAGGATGGCACTTTGGTTCAACCACTGACTGATGTCAAAAAAATCAACATCATTGAGTCTGTTTTTCTCTACTTTAAAAAGAAAACATTATTTAACTTAAAGATTGTGAGTACTAATTGAATTGATGTATATAAAGCACTTAGCACAGAATCAAGCACAGTGTTACTAGCATCCTCTAATGCTTTGATTCTGTAGTCATATTTTTACTTGAATACTCATGTAGATATAATACTTTCAGTAAGTACCTTGGAATTTATAGAGAATTCTAGGTGAAGACCAGAGTCTTGGACACCCGAGACAGCTGTAAACCAACTTCCTACCCAGCATAGAGATCCTTAGCAGGTTGTTATCTGGACTTGAATATGTCCTGGCAGCACAGAAGGAATTTATACATTTTTACAAACATACTCCATGTTACATATTTTTAATGAGATTGTAACGTTCTTTTCCTCTTAACATATTTTACCATCAGTGACATTCACACTGTGGCTTACCATAACTTAACCAAAATGTCTTATAGGGTACCTGCTGTGTGTCAGATGTCCCTCCAGGAATTACATCTCAGTCTTGGACAGAACACACATCAAATGCCAGTATTCTGACTTGGAGTAGAGGAAAAAGGTCATTTTATGTAAACATAAAGAACTCACTTGAAATCTCACCAGTGTATAATAGGACCACTTTTCGGTGCTCTTCTTTCCATACATCTATCCCTGTGTGTTTACATACTTTTTACTTTCTTTTTCCTTTTGGTTACTCTGTAATATCAGTGCAGTGGAAGATTCCATAGGAAAATTTTCACAACTTTACTAATCACATAGACCAATAGAAAAATGAAGTTTTTTAAAGAAATGTGCTCTAAACAGGCACTTTCAATCCCAAAGTTTTTATTACTAAATTCAAAGGCTCTAAGTTCCTCTGTTAAATTGCTACAAAAATGTCTATACACTCTCAATTTCTGTCCTTATCTCAGCGTGGCCAGTTGGGTGAGCAGAGTCGGCTCCATACGTGGGAGGTGCTGTATGAACAGCTGACTGCGTAATCTGGCCCCAGCCTGCCTTGGCTGTCTCGTGTCATGCTGCTCTTTGGATTTACCTATGACAAGCTGTTCTTTGTTATCAGGTTATGCCGTGTATTTTTGCTTTACTTCTGGCATGACTTCACATTCTCTTCTTCCCTCCTGGAATGCCCTCCCTGGCTGTAGAGCACCTACACATTTTAGACCAGCCTAATTGTTGCCCTGCCCGTGATGCTTCTCTTGAAGCCTTTGCATCTCCATCAGTGTTTTTCTTTGAACCTTCCTTACTTCATGGGGCTGCAGTTTTTTCTGTACCAAAAAAATTCCTTGAAGGTCTTAATTCTCTTTTTCATCCTTATATGTCATTGGCACACACATTTTGTCCTGAATAAATGCTTACTGAATTGAATCAGCTCAGCAAATTATGTGATTTCTGTTTCTTTCCTTTTGTTCTTAACCAGATAGTTTTTACTCTTCTGCTTTCATGTTTGTGGATTTCCTTATAAGGACATAACCATTTTGATACACATTAAAATTTTCTTTCCTCTTTTGTCAAATCTGAGTTTAAAAACAGAGGAAATACAACTTCCCATTGTCTTATTCTGATAGTAGGTCCTGTCCCATGGGCATCACTGTCACTATCTGTCACTGTATCCCTGACATATACGCCACCCAGCAGTGTACCCCAGTCCCCTGTAGTGATAAGTATATATAGATGAATATAAACTCCCACAGTACCTGGTAGGATGCTTTAGACTCACACTGACCTAAGCTTCAATCCCTAGGCATACACTTGCTCTGTACCTTAGGGAAGTTCCTTAGTTTCTCCAAGCTTGTTTCTGCCAGTAAAAATAAAGGTATCTTAGGATGATACTACAGGGAAACCAGAGTTGCTTGATAAATGTTCATATACTCTGTTCAGATACACATGAGGATGGGCATCAGGACAGATGAACAGAAGATAATGGATCTGCCTGTCTCTTTAAAGGGCTGGGGCCAACCCATTGGGCAGACTGGCAGGGAAGGAGGACTGCTGTCAAATTCTATCTTTGGCAAAGTCTTGGCTGCTCCTCTCCTCCTGCCCTCTGACTTCCTGTTCACAGCCGGCAGGATACCTCCTTTGGGAGCTCAGGGCTGTGTGACTGAGGAAGCTAGATGAGCAATTGCTGCGTGTTCGAGTGGGTGGGTTGGTTGGGAGGCAGGCTAGTGACATAAAATCGGCATATGGAAATCCCCAAAGTTCACATCTCAAATGATGCCAGAGGTCCAGATCCTTGCCATGAAGGAGGCTTGAGGGCACTTCTTTAAGCACTCCGGCCCTTCTCCTTTACGTCAGCTTCTCCTCTACCCCTGCTTAACTTTGGAAAGAAGGAAGTATGATGCACACTTTTTGGTCAGTTGATTTTGATTAAGTTAAAAACGGGTGTCATTCACTATGTTGTCCATGTTCACAGCCCCGTGCCTGTGCTCCGTTTTCACCCCAGAAATGCTGTCTTCCTTTTGCCTACCTCAGCCCCACACCTCACCAAACACCAGATCTTCTGTCTTCCTCCCCAACGTCCCTCTTCCTCCTAAGCTGCTACCATTCATTAAAGAGAAATCTTGTTTATTGTGCTTCACACAATAACTGCTGTGGATCTTGTCCTTTATGTCCAGTTACTGTGCAAACCACTTGGGACCAAATATTAAGTCTGACAGTCTGGGGTTCAAATCCTAGGTCTGTACCTTATTCCCTGTGAAAACATGTTCCCTGTTTGAGCCTCAGTTTCTTTTGTAATAACTAATGAGCAAGTATATAAAACACCTAATGTAGATCTGGCACTTAATGGGTGTTTAATAGATAGAAGTTATAATTTAGAAATATTTGGGTAGTGTGATGATTGAGGCAATGAATTACCATTTATTAACTTACTGCATCCAGATATATATATATAGGAAATCTGTTTAGAATTTACAAAGCTGTTTTACAGTTACTGTTGTTGAATGGGTATCAGATAAATGCCTAATGGTATTTGCAGTGTGACTTCAAAGCTTTCAAGAGCTTTTCCAGTTTGCATTGCTAGGACTTTTTTTGATAGTAGTCCCATGCTGCCTTCTTTTTGTGATACCTCCTACTCAGAGAGCCCTCTGGCCCTCCCCACAGTGTTCTGCCTGCTATGTGGAGGTAAATTCTATGTTCACCTTCCTTTGTCCCTTATTGCCCGCCTCTCTTGCCTGAAGTCTTATCTTGTCCTCTGGGAGGTATGCTAAGTGCTCTGCCAGCCTGCCTGAGTGGCTGGCCTGTTTTTTTTCACTGCCAGCACCTCTTGGATTCCAATTCCAAACATGGTATCCCTCTGGGGTCACCCTTTCTTCCGGTGCCAAGAGAGAACGCATTCCAAATGGAACACAAGTGTGCCTCCCATGCAGGGCTCTCTGCATTCTGCTTGGGAACAACAGAGAGCAGGATGTGGCCGCTTTAGCTCACACTGCTCAAGTTTTCAGTCTCATTGTCCTACCTTTCTCTCAGAACAACTGAGGTTTTTTGTTAGGGACCAAATATGAAGACTGTTCTAAGAAACCTGGAGCCAAAGAAGCTTACCAGAGCTCTGCAGGGAGGGCCACAGCCTTGCTGAGGCAGAGAGAAAGTTTTGAAATTCTCTATGCTGTGTACTATGTTCTGCCATTCATCCCCAAAGCTACCAGGAGCATTCCTGCCAGCAGAGGAGGAGCTGGTGGTGAGAAGCTGCAGGTGAGAAGATATCTGGGAGGACAGATTAATTCATCTGGGTTTCCCATTTGGGGACAGCATCAGAGCCCAGCGAGCCTTTGAGCCACCCCAAAGATGGGCACCAACACCAGCATGGCGGGCCAGCTCCTCTGGCAGGGGCCTGTGTGCATTAGCTGGAAGCAGGATCTGGAAGGGGCTGTTTACCACCTGGCCAACTGCTTCTTGCTCCTGGGCTTCATGGGGGGCAGCGGGGTATATGGATGCTTCTACCTTTTTGGCTTCCTGGGCACGGGCTACCTGTGCTGCGTGCTGTGGGGCTGGTTCAATGCCTGTGGGCTGGACATCATCCTTTGGAGTTTCCTGCTGGCAATGGCCTGCCTGCTCCAGCTGGCACACCTGGTGTACCGTCTGCGTGTGGACACCCTCCCGGAGGAGTTCAATCTCCTCTATAAGACACTATGGCTGCCCCTGCAGGTGCCCCTGCACACCTACAAGGAGATTGTTCTCTGCTGCCAGGAGCAGGTCTTGACTCTGGTCACAGAGCAGACCTATGCCGTGGAGGGGGAGACACCCATCAACCGCCTGTCTCTGCTGCTTTCAGGCCGGTAAGCTACTCTGTCATCACCCAGTGTTTCTTTCCCCAGTCCACACTTCCTGTTTCCTAGTGTCCCTTTCCATTTCATGTCCTTTCACTGAGGGAAGGATGTGGAAAGGTCAAACAAACCAAAATAGATTTTTCTAGGAATGAGTTTACTTCCTCTTAATATTTTCCAAGAGGAAACTAGATCAAAAGACCTCTTTCTGAGCTGAATAAAAATGACTTCATGTGCATTTGCTGCTGCCAGATGTGGAATTCAGAGCTGAAATGAACACACACGTGCACACACACACACACACACCCCAGTGTGCCAGAACGTGACATCTAAGCTACAGAAATATCTCTGTAAGCCTTGGAAAACTGAACATTTCAGCAAGATTAATTTTTTTCCTTCCATATGCATTCAACATTTGTTAAGCACCAACTATGTGTAGGAAATGAGGCCCGAAAAAGAGGGTGTTTCCAGTATTCTCTGTTTCCTGCCAGGGCTTCAAGGAAATAGCCCAGCTTCGGTCTGAGATATTGTGTACCAGCTCTGAAGTGTAGCCGCTCTGTGTACAGCCAGATGGGAGGGAACAGCCCTTGTCCACTTCTCCATTCCCACTTGTTCTGTGCAGATTATTCCAGGTCAAGAAGTCCAGTCCTGCAACTCTGAGGTCCCCACAGTAACAGAAGAGGAGTGATGCATGTCTCACTTAGGTTGTGGTGGAGACTGACAGACGTTGGCGGCAGTGGTCTCAGTGCACGCCCATTGCATGCCCATGTGGCCATTGATATCTGATGAAAAACACCATGGCTCTCTGTGCTGTACATTTTGTGGGCAATTGTGTGTTATTCTTTGAAATAGTGTCCTAGTGGCACTTGCCTAACCTCCCCTCACCCTGCCAGCATGCTTGAGCCCAAGAAGGTAGTTGAAAAGAACACAGTAACCAGAAGGCACCAGTTCAAAGAAAGAAAGAACGAGAGAGAGAAAGAAAGGAAAAGGAAGGGGAAAGCTAAAGGGAAAGAAAGGGGAAAAGGAAAGAGGAAAGAGAAGAAAGGAAAGAGGGAGGAGGGGAGAGGAAAGAGGAACAAATTAAGACTGTCAACCACATAGGAAAAAAGCTTGATAATGATGAAAATTGTACAGTAACTACTATTAATAGAAGTGAAACACATTTATGTATTTACAGAATCCAAGGTATTACAGAATCCAAGGTATCACAAATTAAGTTGTGATTTTTATGGAACTCAGAGGTCCTGGGTTGAATGAGCAATAAGGGGAGAGATCTTGAGGGAAGACATTTCATTTTATTTGTAAATGAGTTGAAAGTGCAAACAAATGCAGTTATTGGCAAAAAAAAAAAAAGAAAAACCACTATGGTTATTGCCAGAATGTTTGTACCTTATAGTCCTGTGCTTAAAAACAATCTAGGGAACTCACTCATTCATGAGATTCATGATACCATTTGCTCCTTATACCTCCTCTATTTAAAGGAAGGGATTGACACTGGGAGAAATGTCCCCTCCACTGTAGGATGCTCACTTACTGGAAGCAAGTGACAATCATTACATGGTTCAGAGAGCTTGTACATGATAGATTCACTGTGAACTTGTACCTGTGAAGGGAAAAGGAGGGCTTGTCCTTCCCTGTAGCTTTTCCTAGTATACTTAGCATCAAAATCCTAAGTTAGAAATTAGACAATTTTGATTTTTTTTCTTCACTTTTAAAGTCTCAGACTAAGGATTTTATGTTTGTTGTTTTATTATCTGTCAATGTTATCCTGTCCCAGCTTTGCTAAGTCAGAAAAAGGGGAAGTGGCTTCTTGACTATGAGTGGGCTCTTTTTAAGGAGAGTTGCTGTATCCCGGGCTCTTTACAGTTCAGTATCTGACACCTCAAAGTAGCAGACAAGAACTCTGTGCCAGGAAGCAGAGGTCTCCCGCACATACTTTCCCATCTTACATGCACATTGTCACCTGTAGCCCTTTGCTCAAACCTTAGAAGTCTTTTTGCTTTATTTTAATGAGGGCAGTCAGTCTCTTCCAGGACTCAGAGAACAGTGACTTCCTCAAAGCCTGTTGCCCCATAAGTGGGGCTTACTGTTGGAGAGTTTTTCTCACATAAAATGCAAAGCACAAACACCCACAAGTACAACCCTGAGCAGGCAGCTGTCTTAAGCTATTCAGTCAGGAGGAAGTGACCCATCATCCAAGAAATGAAGAAGGAAGAAGAGGCAAATGATAAAGGGCGCAATAAACCTGCTTAAATGGCTTCTGTGAGCACTCTAGGGTTTCACCACTCGGTGGCTTGCTGGGGAGCCAGCGTCTCACCCGAGAAGGTGAAGGGAAGATGTATGTATGGCCCTGTGGTTTCCGTCTCTCCTCGCATCTTCCTTTCTTAGGGAAGTTTTTACTTGAGGCTATGTACGATTCCACTTTTTTGGTGATACAAATGAATGTGTTTCCTCCTTCTTTTTTGCCATCCTTCTTTCTTTTCTTCCTTCTTCCTCCCCCCACTTCCACAAATATTTGTTAAGATTTTGAGGGACTAGGGACCAAGGGTTTAATGTGAAAACTATTGTCTTTGAACTCATGAACTTGCAGGCTATCACAAAAGCCAAGAATTAACGTGTGCCATAGTGGTTAACAGTGGATGTTGTTCTAAAGAGAAAGCAAAGAGCCAGGAGAGCATGAACTAATGGGTCTCACTTTTTGTGGGAGTCAGACTTCCTGCAAGAGGAAGCATTTAAAGCTGAGACCTGAGGGGAGAGGTCCAGCTAGAGACAGCACACATGAAGACCTGAGGTAGGAGAATATAACACTTCATTTCTCTTGTATCCTTTCTTTACTCAGAAAGGTCTTGTAGGAGCAAGTGCCTGTCTGCTTTCGGAGGCTATGGGCTGACTCCATCCTTAGCCTGGTTAGAGACCTGTGTCCTCTTCTGTCTCCCTTCTTTAGGTGTTCTGATAACGGGCAATAACCTATTAACTGGTGATGGTCTTTGGTAATTTAAAACTCATCTGAGGCAAGAAGGTGCCTCTGTGGGCAGAAGAAGGAAAAAAATCTTTAAGGTACACATGTCCATTTGGAGGGAGGTACCCTTGCACTATTCCTAGAGCTTTATCAGCTAAATAAATATCCCTGAGCATCTCCTGCACCTTGGAGGTCTGGGGATGCAGAGGTGGGTGCAGTCTAGCTCTCACCTTTGAGGGTTTTACAGTTTAGTGGAAGCCACGGGTGCATAAATAACCTGCTGCAAGTCATTGTGGTAAGTGCTGCTGTAGAACAGGTGCATGGAGGAGGAAGAGTGATTGTTTCTCTTCTGTGGCAGACTCTCAAAGGCCACCACATATATGCACACATGTATGTACATCTAGGCATTCTTTAGGAGCAAGATTCTGGAGTGCTAATATTCCATTGGCCATAACTTAACTCCTTGGCTGTACCTAACAACAAGGGAGGTAAAGAGTAGTCTTCAGCTGTGAACTCATGTGTCCTGTTAAAACTCTAGCACTATGGAGGAAGAGAAAAAGTCGATATTGGAGAGACTGCTACACTGAATTTCCCAGAGCTCTGTGCATCCCCGTCTTAACTGTTTCTCTATATCTTATTTACCTTTCAGAACTCAGGTCAGATGTCACGTTCTTTGAGAAGTCTACTACCCAAAGAAAATGAATTTCTCTTCCTCCTCTGTGCTCCCATTCCACAGCAGCCCTTATCATGCTGATCTGAAGCAGGTTATTTATGTTCCTGTAATTTCCACTCAATTGTGAAATATTTAAAGGCAAGAGCCAGACTGCAGTCATTTCTTTATCCCTCAACCTCCAGGAATGCAGGAGGTGCTCTGTGAATATGTGCTTAGCCAGTAGAGCTAAGAAATAATGGAAGCATATCTTCCTCCAAATAGAGATACCATATATCATAGAGATCCAAATAATTTTTCTTCCTCCTTTGCCTGACAGAGGTACTTTCTGTCCTGATATAACTCAGGATGAATCTCTGCATTTTCTGGGGAAAGAACGAAAATACCCATACTGGATTTCCGAGATGCTACATTACAAGTGAAATGCACTCACTCTCTGCCATGGATTCTAACAGATTCTCCCAAAATGCACTTGCCCATCCCTGGTGAGGTGCTGACCATGAATGCAAGCAAGCTGCATTCATGTTGTTTCCATCCCTGAGTTGTGAAAACAAGCCTGAGGTCATGGGCAAGTCAAGAGCAGTTATACCTATTGGTAGTATAAAATAAAAATAGTCATAAAATTAAAACCAGTTAGTAAGTAGAATTCCTGGCTGTGGACATGGAAACCCATTCTGTCTAACTGGCAGGAGAAAAAGATCTTTAAAAAATACAAGGATATTTCATCAAAGTCAAGGAGAGGTACACACTTGAGCCTCAGGTAGGAACTGAATTAGGAACATGTTCTGGGCATTTTGTATCATTTATGATTTCTTTTCCCTATGGCCATTTGAGGTATATGCACTTATAAAGTCTGAGTTAAAACACAAGGTTTTAATTTTTTTGTTTGTTTGGTTTTTGTTTTTTTGGCACCCGGGATTGAACTCGGGTCCTTGCGCTTGTGCAGCAGGCAGCGAAACCATTGAGCTAAATCTCCAGCCCAAGGTTTTAGTTTTTTAGTAAAGGAGTATATGAGTTTTGCCAATTGTCTGATAGTTGTTCCTATCCAAGACATTCATTGATTCTAGTTCCAATGCCCATGGAAAGAGTTCAAATGGCTCAGTTTAGGTTAAGTGTTCAGCCCAGGACCATCCCTGGACAGGGTGCATGGGATGCCATTGTCCAAAGCCAGAAGCTGTCATTGTCACATTATGGTTGGTTGTTGAGCACAGAGAAGGGGCCATGCTAAGAGCATCCAGCATCACCTACCAAAAGCTCTGATCCTGATTGCATGGTGTCATGGTACGGACAGAATCTCAGTTCTGCCACTTGATACCTATGAAGCCTTGAACTCACCAGTCAACCTTTCCGAGCATCAGTTTACTTAGGTGTAAAACACACAAAAAAATAATCTGCCTTGAGTTATTTTGCTGATTAAATAGAAGAACACTTATGAAGTGTCTAATACAGCCTGCTATGCAATGATGCACCATTTCCTTCAAAGTCTGAAACATGGCGATAGTGCAAGCCTGCGGCATGTACAGCATGGCCCTTCACAGAGCCCACTGAGGCGGGGAAGGAGAAGACAGCCAGGCTGAACTTCCATAATGGTGTCCTCCAATAGAACTCTCCACGATGATGGCAGCATTCTATATTGATGTTGTACACTATGGTAACCACAGGTTCATGTGCTATGGAGCACCTGAAATGTGGCTAGTGTGAATGAGGAACTGGATTTTTAACTTTATTTAGTTTTAATGAATGTGTATGTAAACTTAAATAGCCACATATGCTAAGTAGACAACAGAGCTCTAGCACAGTGGTTTCCATCCTGGCTACACAATAGAATCACCAGGGAGATTTGTAAAACTAATGTCCAAATCCCACCAGCAGATTCCTATTTAATTACTCTGTGATAAGGCCCAAGCCTAGTTGGTTTTTCTTTTTTTGGGGGGGGGGTTCATTATATTATTTTATTTTGCAGTACAGAGGATCAAACCCAGAACCATGAAAACGCTAGGCAAGTACTACTCTAATGCTGAGCTACAATCTCAGTCCTTAATTTCTTTTCCTTTCCTACCTTTCTTTCTCTTCTTTTCTCCTCTCTTCAACCCCCACCCCCTGCCCCCAGTCTCTGTCTCCATCTCTGTCTCTCTCCTGGGAATTGAACTCCAGGGCCTCACACATAATAGGCAAGCACTCTACTATTGAGCAATATCCCCAGCCCCAACCCTAGATGAGACTTTTTTGTTGTCATTTTGTTTGCGGTACTGGGGATTGAACCCAGGACCTTTGCACTGAGCTACATCCTTGGCTTCTTTTTATTTTTTTGTTTTGAGACAGGCTCTAAGTTGCCAAATTGCCCAGGCTGGGCTCAACTTATGATGCTGGTGCCTCAGCCTCCTGAAGTGCTGGGGTTACAGGTATATACCACTATGCCTGGTGTTTTTTAAAGCTTCCTGGGGGCTTCCCTGTGGTTTTTCAAAGCTTCCCTGGGGCGTCTATTCTGCAGTCTGGAATTGAGTATCACCTGTAAGAAGACAGAGGAAAAAAGGCTCAGGAAATCTCCATGGGTCTACTTTCTAAACAGTTTCCATGCAACAATCAAGCGATTTCTGCTTTGGGTTTTACTACACTTTAGCCAGGTATTTCTGCTGGAACATTTGTGTGTGTGTTGGTTTTTTTTTTGGTACCGGGGATCGAACTCGGGACCTTGAGCTTGTGAGGCAGGTGCTGGAACCACTGAGCTAAATCCCCGGCCCACATTTGTGTTACTCAGCAACACAAGACTTCAGCGAAGGGCACTGGAGCGCCATTTCCTGTTTCCACTTGGTCTCTTCTTTCCCTCTGCCAGGGTCCGTGTGAGCCAGGATGGGCAGTTTCTGCACTACATCTTTCCCTACCAGTTCATGGACTCTCCTGAGTGGGAATCGCTGCCGCCCTCCGAGGAAGGCATCTTCCAGGTAACAGCCCTTGTCAGCCTTGCCTGGCCCATCCTGCTGTGAACCAGCCATACACAGGGCTCCCTCCATCTGTCCCCTCACATCTGTGGCTGGGGTGCAAGCTCGCCCACCTGCTCTGTGGGAGGGGCCCCCGGGGGTGTGAGGGAGGCAGTGGTCCCTGGTAGATGGTCATGTCGCCCGTGAGTGAAGCTGTCAGTCATCTCTGGCACCTCTCCAGGCCCCCTTGCTCACACTCGCTGCCCAGACCATTGGTACTTCCCTAAACACAACACATTGCCATCCACTACTGTCCCTTCTGTTGAAATGCATTTTCGCTTCTAGCTGAGAGGCCACATGGCACTTCGCTTCCACTGTGAAGCCTGGCCAGACCAACGCCCCAGTTTCCCCAGCGGCCTCCTGTTCCTGCCTCCTTGTTCTCTTTTACTCATGACTGGTCCAAATGGTGCTCTTTGTTCTAATGATCCAGGTTCCTACCGGGATCCATATGTCTCCTACCACTTTTGTCAGGGAGTTCCTCAAGAAGCACATCAGCCAATCCCGGAACAGCACATACCAGGCAGGCAGTGCCACTTGGCTGGGCCTGCTTCCGTCCCCACCCTGACACTTGTCTCTGTGGCAACAGAGCCTGAGAGGCAGGGCCACCAGCTACAGTTCCCTCCAATCAAAATCCCACCTTTCCCTCCTCTACACCCAGGGACCTCTGCTGGGAACTCCCTCAGGCCATAGAAATGTTCACAGGGCTGAGTCAGGCCTGACCCAGCCCCACCAGGGCTCTGACACAGAGGAACAGGTGGTGAGAAGCTGATCCCCACCCTGAGTTGTGCTGGAAGGGCCATGACCCCAGATGGTCTCTGCACCTGGAATGAGTGTGGCCTCATTCCTCCCATTTCTATTTTTAGTGTGCACCTCCTTCGGGTGCAGTGAGCTCCACACATTCACAATTGGCTGTATAAAGTTCCATTTCCTCTTTGCAAATGTCAAATGTCTCCAGTTAGGGTTCATCCTGTCCTTGTGTTTTGCCTTTGTTGACTGAGAGAGCAACCCACAGTGACAGCCAACCTCGTAACTTGCATGGGGTTTCACATGAATTGGTCGGTGATCCACCATGCCTGTCAGCAACTCAGCTACATGAGTGTTTCTTGACTGTTCAGCTTGGTGACACTCACATTAGTCCTTAAGGACACAGGACAGAAGGCATCCCACACAAGGCACCACTATTTCTCCAATCTGCATCCCATTTTACTGGACCCAAAGCCTATTTGCATGTTATCTCATTTAATCTCTTCAGCCAACCTCTGAGGTAAAATTAAATTATAAGCTAGAAAACTTGATGACAAACATATTCATACATATTTGGGAACCAGGCAAGAAACAGATTTCTGGAGCACCTTTGGGAAAGCTTTTATATAGGACATGAGAAAATGAGTTATTTTGCCATATACAAGATTAGTAATCTTCACCTGATTCATTCGTCCAGTTCAGTGATTTTTACTGAGCACTTATTATATACCAGGCACTCACCATCAAAGATGCTTGGAATATATCAGCCAACAGAACTAATGAAAGTTCCTGTCCTCATGCAGTCTACATTCTAGTGAGCGGCATAAAAAATAAGCTGTAGACATAATTAATGAGTAAATTATGAAATATGTTACAGGATAATAACTGCTAGTTTGAAAAAAACATAGCGTAGTATAAAGGAGAGATGGCTGCAGTTTTAAAGAGAATGGTCATGCTGGGGATTTAGCTCAGTGGTTCCGACACCTGCCTTGCAAGCTCAAGGACCTGAGTTCAATCCCTGGTACCAAAAAAAAAAAAAAAAAAAAATGGGAATGGTCATGGAAGACCTGTGAAGCAGGTAACATGTGAGCAAAGAACTGGGACAGTTGAGCTGCAGGTATCTGGGGAAGAGTGTGTTGGACAGAGGGAAGCGTGCGTGCAAGGCTGTTGTGAGATGGGCCGGTGTGGTAAGGGTTAGAAAGGAGGCCTGAACATGGGGAACAGAGAAAGGAAGGGGGGAGACTTCAGGAGAGGAAGCTGAAGGGCCAAGGGTAGCCAGAGCATGGAAGGGCCAGAGCATGACTTTCTAGATAGGCCCAAAAGGTTTCCCTTTTGATATAGGATGTGATGGAAAGAATCAGGGAAGACTGAGGCCTTTGATCTGAGCAGCTGGAAGAATGGAGCCGCTACCACCTGGGACAAGGAAGGCTGCTGGAGAGCTGGCTGGCTGGCCAGTGGGAAGTTCAGTTGGGGAATGGTAGGTTGGCCTCACCTGTGGATAGTGAAATGGAGATGAGGAGTAGGCAGTTGGATATTTAAGTCTGGAGTTAAGTAACAAGGTCTGGGCTTGAGACATAAATTTGAAAGTGTGGACAGAGAAGGGGTTCAAGAATGGCACTTCTGGGACTAAGAAGTTGGAGAGAAAAAAGGGAATTGGTGAAGGAATCTGAAAAGGAGAAAGCATGAAATTGCCCCTGGAGTGCATGGCATCTGGGGACCTAGAGCAGGAGGGCTGTCTGTCCAGGAGGAAGGCCAGGGGGCAGAGTACAGGCTGACTGCAGGATGCTCCAAGTCAGACAGCACTGGTGACTCAGCAGGATAGCACAGGGGGACTTCTAGGAACAAAGCCTTATTGGTTTAACCAGAGTGAAAACAGAATTTGAGATAGTAAGGAGAGATAATTTTTTTCACGGAGTTTTGCTAAAAAGAGGAGCAAATTAACGAAAGTGGTAGTTAACCAGGGAAGTAAGGTAAAGAAGAAGGATTTTCATTTTTTAAATTTTGTTGTTTTTAAATAGAAGAAGCAAAGGCATGTTCACAGGAATGTCCGAGATCTTTGTGTTTGGCTTTAAGGCACTGGTTTCATTGAGATTAGGTCTTCCTCAGCCTGATTTCTTGTTTGGGAATTGTTAGTAAGTACCAGCTAAGGTACAGGCTCTGCCGTGATAACTACTTGCTAAACTGTTAGTGATAGGTTGTAAGTCTTATTTTCAGAATTCTTTCTCACAAGGCAACATGCCCAAAGTAAATAGCTCATTTGATATTACACATCTGTAAAGAGGTGAAGCTGAGACTTCTGGCCTTGTTGGTGTAATTTAGGGTCCTGCCTACAGTGAGAACAATTACAGGGGGGAGAAGCTACAAGAGCCAAATGAATAAAGTAAATGCAGGAGGTGTATAGCAGACATGGAGGAAGGGAGAAGAGGAGGGAGGCCTACTATGCAAGGCAGGCATTTAAAGGGTTACACATAATATGTAATCAAGAATATTTGGAAAGTCAGGCCTACCTTTAATTTGACAATCCATGTAAAGTTCTTAACAAATGCCTTGCACACAGTCACCTCTCAGAAAATGCTAGCTGCTGTCATCATTTCTACAGTGTCCATCTACAAATACCCATCTTAATCTCTGCCAACACAAAATATTATGATTGATCAAATTATTTTAAAGATCTTAAGATTCTATACCCTTTCCCTGTACTATCCTAAGCATGTTTCACTTTAATCCCAACTTTACCGCTCAGCATTGTTTTAACAAGGATTTCTTAAGCATCTACTGCCTTCCAGGTACATATTATTGCTTATTTCCGCTGCAAGTACAATTTAACTTTACATCATCGGCATACCAGGAGTGCTCAGAAACTCCTAGATGAGTAAATGGAGAAGGGGCCTTTACTGTCACTCAAGGATTTGTTTCCTTGTGTCATTTTTCTGATTTAGTCATCAGATCTTTTTGATTACATATAGTGGTCAATAACAGCCTGACATACTTATCAGAAGCCTTTTCTCTAATAGAACTTTCCCCAAACTCCACCCCAATATATTATCTTTCTCTACTCTTAAAATGAGTAGTCATCGGCATTTTGAGCTCCCTGTGGAACACCAGGAACACCCCTCTCCCTACCACTTGACTAAGAATCTTCTGTAGCCATTATTGGGGTCAGCCAAGGCACACAGGCTGTGAGGGTGGGGAAGTCGGGTGTGGAGACTGAGGCTGCAGGAGGTGATGACCAAGTGAGTGAGTGGCCAACCCCAGGGCTCCCAGCGTGGACACTGCTTATCTCAGTGCACACAGTAGAAGTCATTCCCTGGACCTCCTCCACTCGAGGCCACGGAGGGAGACTTCAGCAAAAGTACAGCCAGTTGCCAAGTAGCCATATGCTTCTCTGTGCTCAGCCTAGACACAGTTTCCAGTTTCAACCTTGCCTCTCTGCTCCTGACCCTCCACCCAGGTCACTCTAACTGCCGAGACTGAATGTAGCTACATTTCCTGGCCCCGGAAAAGTCTCCACCATCTTCTGACCAAAGAACGATACATTTCCCGCCTCTTCGCAGTCCTGCTGGGCTATGACATCTCAGAGAAGCTCTACACACTCAATGAGAAGCTTTTTGCTAAGTTTGGACTGCGCTTCGACATCCGCCTCCCCAGCCTCTACCACGTCCTGGGTCCTTCTGCCTCAGATGGAGGGCCGGAGTCCGAGAAGGACGAGGAGGAAGGCTGCGAGCCAGCCACATGCCCCGCTCTGCCGGTGCCCACCTCTGTCCAGCAAAGCCCACCTTGTTCTCCCCCTCCAGCTGCCACCAACTTTCCTGCACCTCTATTCCGGGCCCGGATGTCCAGGCCTGACAGCGGCATCCTGGGTGAGGACTCCACCAGTCTGGTGCTGGAGGATTTTGAGGAAGTGTCAGGATCAGAGTCATTTATGGATTATAGGAGTGATGGGGAGTACATGAGGTGAGGGCAGAACTAACACGGGCATGGTCACCAGCTCAGGATCCACGTAAGTATGGACAAAGAGGCTGTGCACCTTCCTACAAGGACTTGGCCTTGGCTCGGCTTATAAGGGCAAAAACACTGCTTTCCGGGGCATCTCCTCTTACTAGACTCACAGAAAGTAGCATTAATCCAACCTTGCAGACAGCAACTCACTCTGGGTGCATGCAAGGCATGATGGGATTTATTTTTTTGCATTAAATTCTTTTATTGGTACATTTGTAGGTATACAACACAATTACATTTCTCATTGGGAATTGTACCTTTATATAATGCATCTTGGTTCTTATTTTTTCCCCATTCCTAGCCCTTCCTTCACGCCCTCCACCCTTCCCTATTTACAAAGACTTTATTTCCATTTTTTCCACTTCTCATCATTTTTTTCCTTTCCCTTCTTACTTTTCCCCTGCCCCTCCCACTACCCCTACCCCTTTGGACCTTTTCTTCCTATTTTACATTAT